CCTTGATTTTATGTTTTACTATATCTGAAAATTGGGACCAGGTGTACTTCTCTGGCTATTAATTCAGTTGTACTGGGTTGCTCTCCAGCTCTCTCTGTGTTGGTGGAATCATGGTGGGGATGTGGTTGCAGTTGTCTGTTCACCATGAAGAGGATTTGGAGTTTGGATGAGCAGGTGTTGTCCACCCTCTTTCATTCATTCTGTGGTGCAGGAGCTATTGGTGTTACTGTCTATTTATTGGGTGAGGTGTTCAATGTAATAGCTCCTGTTGCTTGGTAGAGGTTTAAAGTGTTCCTTCTATTGGATGAGGCAGGGGAGAAAAGGAAGAAAGAAAAAAAGTGCCAGAAGTGACCCCTCCCACAGATAGAAAGTTAGAAGGAGTTTTCAACATTTGGGGCAAGATAATTCAGTCAGCAATTCAGGGACAGGCAGGGTAGTCTGTGTCCTTTTGAGATGTCTACTAATGATGATGTCCTATTTCAATCAAAAACCTGCTCCTCAAAACCAACAGAGACCCCAATGAATAGAGGGACACTACTTTCTGCTTGGATCGAGAAGCTGCAAAAACCCAGTTTCTGGTCTACACTGTGTTAAAAGGGGTCATGGAAGAGTTGAACCCCAGCCTTTCTCTATGCACTCGCTCCAGGGCTCCACTTACTCAGAGGGAGTTTCTCCCTCTTCCCCACTCCATGGCAGCCCAAGTCAAGAGGGGGGTCTTGATCTGTTTCCCATTAAGATTATCATACTCACACAGAGGGCAATTTCACTATGAAGAACTCCTGATATGGCTATTCTGATTTGCCAGTGCCTGTGGGTTCCATGATTTTTTTTTCCCTCTCTCTCTCCTTCCTTCCACTGGTCTCTTTTGTATTTCTAATAAGGCCTCTCTGTCTCTGTCTCTGGTGGCTAGGCAGGTACATTTATATTTCCCTGTTGTTTGATCTGCTCTTTTTCTCTGCATTCACTAAATCCAATACTTTATCTTCTCCTTAGTTGCTCATAACTGCAATATTGTTATTTGTATCTGCTTACCTAGTTACTCAGGGTCTAAGTTGGATGAGGTATCAAACATGCATGTTATCAATACAATGCCACCTTCCTTTCTTAGCCAGTTGTAATTTTTGACTGTAATTGCACATCTTGCTCCTATTTTGTCATTTTCATTTCTTACATTGTTTTTTTCTTATTTCTAATAGAAAAACAGAGGAAAAAAATAATGTGATCTTGCACATAAACAGAAAAATGTACTTACAGTTTATATAACTCCTAAACTCATCTTGTAACAAATGTTGGTCCTTTCTCTTAGACCAGAAGATCAATTCAGAAGTTATTAGAATGGGAAAATAACAGATTATATCACAAGGTAAGAATGTTTAAGCAAATAAGTGTCTCATTTATATATTTACATTATTAAATTGAAAATTAAAAAAAAAAGTAGTAAATGAGAACTTTTCAGGCCAGCAAAGGAATGGATTAGAGAACTTTATAATATAGTTGACATGATTTTTAAATATTATGTTTTGTATCTTCCTGGATCATTTTCAGTGACTATTCAAATGTATGTGTTGTAATTAGTATAACTTGATATCAAAATACTTAACTAATTTTACTTTCTTAGCTTGCTTTGCACTGGAAATTGACTAAAAGGAAATGCGAATCTAGCAATATGATGGAGTATGTAAGTATGCCACTATTTTTCATTTATATTACTTAGATTCTATGCTAATTATAACATTTTTTTCTATTTATCACTTGTAAGATTTTCTTTCTACCTTTCTGTTCAGGAAGCCTGAACTTTTGTCGGTAGGAACCTAGAGATTTCTATCTTCTTTACATTTGTAGCCAACGTAAAATATCTTGAAAGCTAGCATTGTTTTAGATCTTAGAAAAGGCTCAGCTAAAATATTTATGTGAAAAACATTCCACCACCTTAGTCTCTTTTTAAGACAGGTACAAATCTTAGCATATGGTGCTAGGAATAGCCACTATTGAACAAGGTATTTCAAAATATACTCTTGTAAAAATTTGCATGCAGCATGAATTAACTTCTTATTTTTAAAAAATTTTATTGTGATTTGGGTGAAAGTTTACAGAGCAAATTTATCTTCCATACAGCAGTTCACATACACTTACTTTGTCTCTCCCACAATGCAACAACTCTCCTCCCACTTCCTCCCCATAGCCACCTCTTCCCTGTGTCCTTCCCTTCCATGCACTCCTGCTCCCTGAGCCATCTCTCTGCAAATACAGATCCTTTCTATTCTCCCATGTTTGATCTCTCTAAGGAGTGTATCAGCCTATTGTAAATGTTCAGCTCATATGCCTGTCTTTTTTTTGGCTGGAAGCCACAGGAGTGAGTTTAATTCTAGACTTGAAGGGCAGTTAGGTTCCATAGTCTCCAGTGTTCCACCAGGCTCTATCAGACCAGCAAACCTGGTCCCTAATCTAATCTTTAGCTTTGAGTGATATAACTATGTTGTTGTTGTTATGTGCCGTCAAGTCGGACCCAACTCATAGTGACCCCTCCTTGGGTTTCTGAGGCAGTATCACTACGGAAGTAGATTGCCCCATCTTCCTTCCAAGGAGTGGCTGG